ATGACGATGATGATGATGCTGATGATGATGATGATGATGATGATGATGATGATGATGATGATGTTGCGGGTGATGACGATGATGGTGATGAGGACGGTGCTGATGATGATGCCTTTATTGTTGCTGATGGTGGTGATGATGATGGTGGTGGAAGAGATGATGATGAGGAGGAGGTGGAGGAGGAGGTGGAGGAGGTGAACGAAGGGGGGAGGAAAAGCAGTGGAGTGATCGTGGGCAGCGGGTGGTGGTTGGTCTCCCTCTTCCACTCCTCCTCAGGGCTGACCGCGAGCGTAGAGGTGGCGGTTCTGAGCGCTGTGAGAATTGTGGAGAGGCGGTGGAGGCGAGAAGGTGGAGGGAAAGAAGCATGTTTTGGGCGGCTTGGAGAGCCTCACGGGGTTCAGGGGGGTTCGGGGCGCACGGGGGAGCAGGAGGAAAACGGAGCAGGCGCTGAGACGCTCGCAGGTTTTTCAGCAGTGCCTGTGCACGTTCGGCTTGTGTGTCAAGTCTTCCTGGGAGGCCCTCGGGAGCTTTCGGGGAGGCCTCTAATGCCTTGAGGGCGTGCTTGGCCGTCTCCCACCGTGCGCGGCAGCAGTGCTCTTCCTTGTCGTCGCCGCCCCCCTCGTCCTCTCCCTCACTGGTTTCGGAGTTCGCAAAGGGAAGCGGGGACGACAGCTCGCTCGCACAGTCGAGTAGCTGCTGGAGAGCACTACGAACGTAGTCAAGAGGCCGACCGTCTAGCAAAGTTGGGTGCAATCCTTCATATTAAGGACCGAGTAGTGTTGGATCGTGTGAAGCGGTCCATCGTGTTAATCACCCACATTGGCCGATCTTTAAGCATGTGCATATGGTTATTGAAGCATGTTCCTAAGGAATTTTGGCACGCTGATATGGAGCCGCCCTTCGTTCCTTCGGGTCCCACTCTTGTCCTATCTGGGGCTTCAGAAAGCGCTCCGCACCGACTTTTGTAGGATCTTGACGTTGGTGGATTTCGAGCAATAGTGTCTCAGAGCAGCTGCTCTGGCGGTCAAAATGTTGGATGGAGCCCGTCAGGCGGCGGCCATATTCTTAAATGTTGTGTGTTCGATGTAGTCGCTACTATAGAACAGGGGTAGCGGACTTGATGCGTGAATGTACGTGCAGACCTAGGCCTCTTGGGACGGCTCGTATGCTTGATGGGAGGCATCCCGGGACTGCCGCACCTATCGGCGAGGTTGGCCCGATCGACCGTGCCAGTGTTGTGTATGCGTTCCCCGCCCCCAATCATGTTTTCATTTTCCAGGCCCTGTTTCACCCTGAGTGGTTATTGTCCGCCCCTTGGTTTCAGTACGCCTCTTGGAGAGGAGGATCTCAATGCACCTCTGGTTCAACTACCCCGTCCCAGCTATGCTCTCGACGATGATGAATATGATTAACTTGTTCTGCCGTTGCGCCTGCCGCCGCAGGCTTGCAAAGAGGCAATCTGGCATAGCTTGCGAATGCTGATTTCTTTTGATAACGTCTTGTTCTAGCTGTTAGAACGCCAGCTATCGTCGCCATTTTGGGCTGCACCGATCGCCAAGCCGTGGCGGAACCGCATCTGGACAGCGTCGGGGTCGAGTGCATCCCATTTTCCCTGACTTGATGTGGGGCAGGGGGGGCGTGTTGTATTGTTGGTGGTGGTGCTGCTGGCGGACAGATAACAAAGTTGTTCCGCGGACTTTGGCCGTCACAAGGCTTAGGTTTCTCAAATCAGAGGCTGCACCTGTTTGCTTTAACCTGCTTGGGGTTCCTGCGGGTCTCTGTCCTCGGTTTTTCGTTCGGTCGCTGTCTCTCCGCCATGGTGTCTCTCCTCTTGTCTTCGCTCGTTCGTCTTTCCTGGCCATCGTTCGGTCTCGCTGTTGCCTGGGAGTCCGCGCTTGACTCCACCCGCGTCCATTCAGGGAAATCGCCCCACCGCGTGTCGGAACGCTCTCAGAGCGTTCGGGAACGCTCTGATGAGGCCGCAGTGCCCGATGCACCCTGCAGACACGCTGGCTTGTCCCGATCTTGCCTCTGTTTTTGGAAAGGTGTCCCAATGTTGGGAGTCGGGGAGTGAAGCCCGTCCGGGTGCCTCCATCCAGGGACCGATCGGAGCGATGCTCTTGCAGCAGGCACATCGGATCGCGTGCAGCCGGCGCGCCGAAGACCAGGCCCGCCTGGCAGCGGATGCCTCACGATGCCCTCTTCTCGCCCCAGGGGCACGCAGAGCCCTGGGGCACGCGGGTCTCCCAGGGCAAGGCCCGTCATCGTGTGTGCCCACTGCACCACCACTTCTATCGCAGACCTAGGGGTTGACACCAACACCAAGATCGGCGGTGTGCTTCCACCGGGGGAAGACGATCCCGATCTCGGTGATGGTGTTATTTTGATTTCCAAGGTGACCGAAATATTACCCCCAACACCGAAATCTGGGATCATCTTCCCCATGTGGGGGAACCCCCCCCTGTGCTGGTGTTGGTGCCAATTTCTGGGCCTCCAATTCTACGACCCCCCCCCCGGTGCCTCGGTCACAGATCCACTGCTGCTTGCCAGTTCGGGCAGACTCCCGCTCTCGTCTCCAGTGTCGGCCTCCGGACCCCTCCCAGGCCGCGCTGCTGGCTGGTGTTCAGCGGCGTATTTGGCTCTGGCGATACGTGGCCTCCCGCAGGAGCCCCCAAGAAAAGCGCCCCAGCCTGTCGACAAAATTCAAAATTCAGCCTGACGAGGTTTGATCGCCTGCAGGTTGGATCCTCCATTTTGGATTCTCCATCCCAGTTGCGTCCTCGCCTCGCGCCTCCGACGCCGCAGCCGCCTGTATTCTCGTCGTCGCTGGCGCCGTCATTATCATATTTGTCGTCGGCAACGTAGTGGGCGTCGGCTTCGTCGTCGTCGCTTTGCGCTTCCGCCGCCAGGCTTCTCTGGATGGCGCATCCTCGCGCGCTGCAGGTTGGCGCAGGCGCGCTGGCGGGAGCGCCGCCGGCGGCGGCCGAGGCCTGGCCCCCGCGGGCGCGGCGCGGCGTCGTCGTCGTCGTCGTCGTCGTCGTCGTCGTCGTCGTCGAGGCTCGAGGTGTTCGGTGCACTCCTTTCCTTGCTTCCCGACGACGCCATCGCCGACGGCGGCGGCGCAGATGCTGGCGCCAACGGCGGCGCCCACGGCGACCACGACCACGGCGGCGGCAACGGCAGAGGAGGGCCAATGCGGCGGCGACGACAGAGGAGGGCGGCTGGGGCCACGGCGGTGGTGGCTCAGGGAGCGCGGCGTGCGCGCAGGAGGCCCCCCGCGCGCCGGGGCGGCGCTCACCGCCGCCTGCGAGCGTGCGCTTGGGGAGGACGGGCACGCCCACGACTGGCGTCAACGCCGGCACGCCGTTGCCGTGGTCGCGGTTGCCGCCTTTTTCGCCGCCGCCACCGCCTTGGTCGCGGTCGCCGTGGGTGCCGCCGCCGTCGCCGCCGCCGCCGGTGCCGTGGTCGCCGTCGTGGTGGCCGTCGGCGCCGCCGCCGTTGCCGTTGCTGTCGACGCCGTCGCCGTCTCCGTCGCCGCTGCCGTGCCCGTGGTCCCATCTCAGACTTTGCTTGTTCCCTACCTAGGCTCTGCCTAGAAGGGTTCTTACTCGGTTTGCTTAAAGGGGCCAGGCAGTGCTACCCGCCCCGGGCAGTTCCCCAAGTCCCCTGGGAGCGGTTCCCCCGGTTGCGCCCCTTAGCTTTAGCTTTAGCTTTAGCTTTAGCTTTAGCTTTAGCTTTAGCTTTAGCTTAGGTTGAGCTTCAGCATTAGCATTAGCTTTAGCTTTAGCATTAGCCTTAGCTTTAGCTTTAGCTTTAGCTTTAGCTTTAGCTTCAGCTTTAGCTTAGCTTTAGCTTAGCTGTCGCTTAGCTTTAGCTTAGCTTTAGCTTAGGTTGAGCTTAGCTTTAGCTTAGCTTTAGCTTAGCTTTAGCTTAGCTTTAGTTTAGCTTTAGCTTAGCTTTAACTTAGCTTTGGCTCAGCTTTGGTTTAGCTTTAGCTTTAGCTTTAGCTTTAGCTTAGCTTTAGCTTAGCTGTAGCTTAGCTTTAGCTTAGCTTTAGCTTAGCTTTAGCTTAGCTTTAGCTTAGCTGTAGCTTAGCTTTAGCTTAGCTTTAGCTTAGCTTTAGCTTAGCGTTAGCTTAGCTTTAGCTTAGCTTTAGCTGAGCTTTAGCTTAGCTTCAGCTTAGCTTTAGCTTAGCTTTGGCTTAGCTTTAATTTAGCTTTAGCTTAGCTTTAGCTTAGCTTTAGCTTAACTTTAGCTTAGCTTTAGCTTAGCTTTAACTTAGATTTACCGTTACTACTAATGCTGCTTTCCTAGGGGCTCCAACTCCTAGGTAGGGTCGCACTGGGATAATTGTTGATAGCTTATCATTACATATTCCCTTGTTCCCCGAACATTTCTTGCAGTAAGGTTTTTTCAAATTTCTCTTGAAGCAGCTGCCCAGTGTGTCGGTCTGGCGGCTCCGTGCGGGCCGTCGCCGCCCTGTCGCCGCCCCGTCGCCGCCTCGTCGCCGCGCGTCGCCTGGGCTTGTGTGTCGGTTTGACGGCTCCGTGCTGGCCGTCTCCGCCCGTCGCCGCCGTTGGACTGCACCACGTGCATACAGCATAGACCGCTCTACATACATTGCACCAGGTCGACTGCACAACATACATTGCATGACGAATCCATACCGATTCGTTTTCCAAACAGCTTTGCACGCCCCACTCGCAAGCCGCCTGCAGATGTGAACGGTCCGTTCCATCGCCGTCCTTGCTCACGTTTTTCGGGCGGCAGAGCCATCCCAGCTTGTATGGGAATCCTCGGCCTCCTGAGCAAAGCAGCGCGCGGCGCCATCGCCATACTCGATTCGGTTGGGCCAGGGCTGGGACCGCTGGCTGAGGAGGCCTCTGACTGTGCGTTGGCCGTGGGCTCGTTCGGGAGCATCCGATCGCTGGCCGTCCTTTGTCTCGTGGCAGGGTTTATCGCTGGCGTGAGCTTGACCCTGTGCTGCTGCCTCGGCGGACATGTCCTATCTACGACCTGGGCGTCGCGTTCGCCTCTTGTGGGAGGTGGGCGGTACCTGGCAGGATCGGATCTTGTTGTGCGAGTGCCAGAGCTCGGAGTGCGAAGCAGAGCTGGAGGTGACGCCGAATCCGATGGAGATCGCTGGACGCCGCGTGTGGTACGCCCTCGCGCCAGACCTGGACGTGTACCCGCACATCTTGTCGGAGGGCCACCTCTCAGGCTTCGTGGCTCTGAAAAACGACGGGTCGCCGGTGACGGAGACGGCGTTTGGGCGCCGGTGGAGGGCAGCGAGTGCGGCATACGGCGCCGAGTGGGAGCCGACCGCGCTCGAGGTGTGCGAAGCCCTGGAGGCGGTGAGGCCAGGCTGCCTGGCCCTCCAGGGCGGCGAGAAGCCCTCCAGGCGCATCAAGGGGAAGGCGTCGTGGAGGTCGACTCCAGCAGCAGCAGCGGCAACTAGCCCGGCGGAGGAGCTCTATCCAGGCCTGCTGGTGGGATCGGGACCACTGCCCGCCAACGACGGGCTGAGCTGGTACGTGCTGGCGGGGGAGAACCCGACGGAGCTCAGGCAGGCGGTGCGCCACCAGGACTTCGACGGATATCTGGTCGTGGGGAAGGTTGGCATCGCCACTCGCGGCGCCGACAGCATGCTGGTGAAGGCCGTGGACCCCTCGTCGCCCGGCCCGGAGCTGGAGACAGACGCGCGGGTGCTGGACATCAAGACCAGGCCCGACGGCAGTCGACATCGTCACTTCACTGAGGCCGCCCGCCTGGTGTCGACCACGGAGTGGGCTGAGTGGCCCATCATGGGCCCGAGGGCGGCTGCATGGTGCCCAGAGTATCTAGCACGCCAGGACCAGCATCCTCGGGCCCGACGCACGAAGTGGGTCCACGAGTGCAGGCTGGAGGCCACGGAAGAGGGCGTCGGCGACCACGACCTCGCCATGCGCATGGCGGAGCTCGGCCTCAGCTTCGATCAGCTGAACCTGGGCGAGCTCGCCTCCTTCGAGCTCCTGATGCGGAAGGCCCAGATGGCCGAAGGCCGGCATCGTGATCGCCTTGCGGCCGTCCAGGGTGACGACCTGATGGAGGAGAGCTACCTCTACCTCGGCGCAGGTGAGACCCGTGGGCTGGCGATGGTCGCGCCGGCGCTGGTCGACCACGTCAACTCGGAGATGCATCGCGAGGCTCAGATCCTCAAGGAGTGCCGCAAGGCGAAGGAGGAGAGGATGCTCTGACGAGGCGGCGGCAGCGGCGCCGCTGGGTCCAAGGCGGAGCTCCAGAAGAAGATCCAGCAGCAGGCCGCCGAGCTCAGGAAGATTCAGGAGAAGGGCGCGGGGAAGGACCAGGCGGCCGGCCGCGGGGCCGGCCGGGGCCAATGACGCGGCCACCTGGGATCGCGCCCCGCGAGTTGCTGCCACTTAGCGGCTTCGCGGCGGCGCGAGCCGACGGCGGCCCCGCTGGGCTGTCGAGGGCGGCGCGCTCGCGAGTGCGCCGCCGCGTGCACGTGGCGAACTGGGTCGGCGACGCGGCCGAGAGCTTGAATTCCCTATATGGTCATGGTGGCGCCCGAGAATATTTTTCAGTTCCAGCTGGGCAGCAACGCAGCCTGGAATTCATGCAGTCCATCATCGAGCAGGCGGGGCCGCCGCCCTGCTCGCCCGCGGCAGCCCACCAGGAGCTGTGCGGCCACCAGCCGGGCTACGCTACCGAGCCCGAGCAACCCGCCCAGTACCAGAGGGAGATCCTCTCCCTGCCGGGGCCGGGCGCGCGCTGTGATCCCAGCGACGTCCTGCGTGGCCTCGAGCACGATCAGTGGGTGCATTGGGAGAGACATTTGTTGCGCCGAACGCGAGCGCCTGACAAGGAGATCAAGCTTCACAATGATCGCAATCTTATGGCGGATAGGCGGCGCTATGCGCAGTTCATCTTGGACCTGCACACCTCCGGCCTTGTCAGAGTCGGGGCCAAGCGCAGTGCTACGGTGGGCGTGTTTTGTGTGTGTGTGTGTGTGCGTGGAAGAGCGGGCGAAAACGGCTTCGGGATGCCTCTCTCTGTGGCCCGCCTCTTCGGCTAAACCGCGCGCCATGTCGCGCCCGGGTGCCATCTTGTGCGTCGGGGCGTCGCGATACTTAAGTTTGGGCGCGGCAAAGCGTTCGGCGCGCCGCCGCGCTTGTCATCCTAGGGCCCCGCGTTTTGTCGCAAGCGGAGTGCGCGCGGCCAGTGCCTCAGGCGCGTCGCTCGCATTGTCAGGCGTGCCGCGCGGCATCATGTCGTTATTCCTTGAATTGTGTTCCTTGCGCCCGACAGCGCCCAGGACGGCCGTCGCCTGGGCTGCTGATTTCCTGGCTGAGAACGGCTTCGTACGAGCCTGCGAGCTCGCCAGTGCAGACGCCGCAGACCTGGAAGGTTGGCCGGTCACCGCGCAGGCCAATGTCGAAGTCCTGCACGAATTATTCAGAGCCGCGAAGATTGCTGCGCGCCGAGGCTCGGCTGCGCGAGGGTTTTTGGCGCGCGCGGCCCCCCCCCCCGCCGCGCGTGCGCCTCGCAGGCGCGCCCGTCGCCGTGGGCTCGGCAGTTGGAGGGCGCGCGCCCGCCCGCAGCCGGTCGCCGGCGAGACGCGCGGCGCCGAGCGCCCCGGGGTCACCCCCTGGGCCGCCGCAGGCGCGCGTCATCGGCCCCGCGCGCTTGCGCATGCCCGCGCGCCGTGGCTCGCGAGGCGCCCGTCCCGAGCGTCCTCGACCAGCTGGGCGCGCCGGTCGCGCTGCCAATAACGCGCGGGCCCCGGGCGGCGCTCGCCGAGGCCGCTGCTCGCCTCCGCAGTCTGGCGGGCGCGGCCCGCTGGCGGGAGGAGGAACGCGTTCGCGCTATGCTGCCTTCATGCGCACGGTCGCTCCCAAGCGTGAGAAGCGGCCTCAAGTGCTGGGAGGCCTACTGCATCAGAATGTTGAAATACCCGTGCATGCAGCTCCCGCCAGCCTGCGCGGACCTGGTCGCCTGGAGCGCCCTCTTTCGCTGCGGGGAGACGTGCGCAAGTTACTGCAGCTACGTTAAGATCGGCTGCCTCCTGACTGGGGTCTGCGTCGCCGTGTTCGACCGCCCCGAGGTCAGGCGTGCGCGCGCCGCCGCCCGGGCGCGGGCCGATTGGACTCCGCGCCCGCGCTTGTTTATCCGTAAGAGCGCGGTCGCCGCGCTGGTCGAGTTGGGCGCGCGCCGCCCCGAGTGGCTCCGCGCGTCGATGCTTTTCCTTTTCGCCTACACGTTCTTGTTGCGTGTTCCCAGCGAGGCGTTGCCGGCCGTGCGCGTGGCCGACGCCGGCGACGCGCCGCCCTTTCAAGCGGCGCTAGTGCCGGGCAAATCGGAGCTCGCGCTGCTGCTGCGGCGGCGGAAGAACCGGCCGCAGGGCAGTCGCCTGTCGCGGAAGTGCTGGTGCTCATCGTGCCGCGCCACGTGCCCCGTGCGCACCCTGGGCCCTTGGGTGGCGCGTTGCGGGCTGGGCCGCGGGCTCTCCGGAGGCATCTCGGCGGCTGCTGCGCTGCGGACCTTGCGCGAGATGCTCGCTGCCCTCGGTGTCCAGGGGGCGAGCCTGTTTCGGTTGCATGACCTCCGCAGGGGCCACGCCAAGGACCTGCAGGAGGCTGGCGCGACGCTGGCCGAGATTCTCGCGGCCGGGGAGTGGCGGTCCTGCGCTTTCATGGCGTATCTCGACCGTGACGATCTGGAAAGGGACGCGGTCGTGGAGGCGGGGCCACGCGCCCTCCGCCCGCGCCGCGGCGCGCTGCTCGCGCCAGGCGCACATGCTGGAGTCGGATTCGGACGAGGGTGCCTGCTAGGCGCCGGCGGCCAGCGCCGCCACGTTTCGCTTCTGTGCGTGGGCGGGTGCGCGCGACGGCGCCCGTGCTCTGCCCCCGCGCGTTCGGCAGCGGGTGGGCGCGCGTTGCCGGCCCGTGTCGCCTGCGTGCCGTGTGGCATTGGGTCTGCACGCAGGCGTGGCGCGAGGCCGCCCAAGCGGCGGTGCGTCGGGCCTGGGCCCGTCGCAGCCGCCCGCGGGGGGCAGCCTCGCGCCGCGCCGCTCCCACCGACGGCGGCAGCAGGCGGGGTCGAGGCCCTGCGCGCGCGGCTCGATTTGTGGTAGGCCCACGGCGGCAAGTCCGCTCGCAGACGCGGACGTTCACCGTTGTGGGCGGGCACAAATCGGCCACGGTTGCGCGTAGGTCGCGCGCGCGGCAGTGCGACGCGACCGCGGCCTCGCTGCGCAGGCGCGGGCCATCGCGCCGTCGCGCGCCAGGGTTGCGCGTCGCGGGGGGGGGGGGTCGCTGCCCCGCGGCGCGTGCGCTTCGCAGGTGATTTGCTAGCGCCGGGGTTGCGTCGCCGCGGGGGGGGGTCGCCGCCCCCGCGGCGCGTGCGCTTCGCAGGCGATTTGCATTTGGAGGAGGCGCCGCGCGCGCGCCCCGCGCGCGCGCGCGGCGGGTGCCTCCCTGGCGCGCGTTCTTTCTCCCACCCTCCGCCCTGTCTGCTGCGCGCAGGCGTGGCGCGAGGCCGCCCAAGCGGCGGTGCGTCGGGCCTGGGCCCGTCGCAGCCGCCCGCGGGGGGCAGCCTCGCGCCGCGCCGCTCCCACCGACGGCGGCAGCAGGCGGGGTCGAGGCCCTGCACGCGCGGCTCGATTTGTGTGTGTGTGTGTGTGTGGAAGAGCGGGCGAAAACGGCTTCGGCTCATCTTCGACACGCGACGAGTCAACGCACGGTTTCATGACCCTGATCACTCTCAGCTACCCAGTGCCGCCGCGTGGGCGGCGCTACGTACCAATCTTTCTTCTTCGTTGAGTATGGCTCAGGCCGACGTGGACAACGCCTTCTACAGGGTGAAGTTGCCTGGCAAGATGGACGAGCATTTCTCGTTGCCGAGCGTGCGCTTGAGTTCGCTCCGACAGCTCGCCGAGGCGGCTGGGGTGAACATTGACCTGCCCGACGCTCGTTTCGGTTCGCCTCTCTTGCAAGTGTTGCCAATGGGGTGGTCGTGGAGCCTCTATTTTTGTCAGAGGCTGCTGGAGACAACCGTGCTGCGGTCGGGTATCGACACCGGGCCGCTCATCATGGACCTCCGCTCCCGTGCAGGTCCGCACCTCTTCGACCCAGCCTGGCGTTTACGTCGACAACGTGTGCATCGTCGGCGGCGACGGCGACCGCTGCGTGGCCGACTGCACCGAGGTCGCCAGCGAGCTGGAGCGGGTCGGCCTGAAGTGCAAGGGCGTCATGGAGCCCGAGGACCTGCAGACCTTCACCGGCATCGCTTTCGAGAGGCGCAGCGGGCGGGTAGGCATCAGTCCGGGTCGGATGTGGAAGATCCGACTTGCTTTGTTGTTCGTGGCGGACCGCCGCTCGGCCACGGGGGGCGAAATCTTTAGCGTACTTGGGCACTTCACTTGGGCCGCACTCTTGAGGCGGCCACTTTTGAGCATTTTTCAACAGGCATACGTCTTTGCCCGCGTCGCTGGACACCGCCGCCTGCGGCTGTGGAGCCGCGTGGAGCTCGAGCTGCGGCAGGCGGCTGCCTTGCTGGTCTTCGCTTTCTCCGACTCCAAGAGGCCCAACAGCCCCTTCGTCTACGCCCCGGACGCCTCCCGGGGCCAATCTGGTTCAGGAGGCGGCTATGGCGTGGTAGGGCAGACCTGGGCCGATGAGCTCGTGGAGCGCACCGCCTCGTCAGCTGAGGCCTGGCGATGCTCCGTGCTGGGCGCCATCGTGGCCCGCGAGTGCGCGCTTGGCTTCGACCCGGTCGAGGGGGCCAAGGTCGGCCGCCGCCGGGCCCGCACTGGCCCCACCAGCTTCGAGGGGGTCGCGAGGTCCTCGATCGGTGACTTCAACGATTGGGGTGTCCTCTTCCACGGCGAGTTTCAGCGTGACGAGGACATCACCGTTCTTGAGGGTCGAGCGGCTGTAATGGCCGCACGGCGCGCAGTGCGAGGGCATTGCGGGCGCAGTCATCGGCACTTCATCTTGGTCGACAACCTCGGGCTCGCACTCGCGGTTGGAAATGGGCGCTCCCCTTCCATCACTCTCAATCACGTCCTGCAGCAGCTGTGCGCCATATCTATTGTCACCGACACCACCTTCATCCTCATATGGATTCCGTCAGAGTGGAACCCCGCCGGCAAGCCCTCTAGGCTCAGGCTCCATCATGCGTTGGACGCTCGTGCTGACCCCCGACATGCTGCGTATCTCGGAGGCCCGTCAGCCAGCTCCAGCGGGCCCCAGGCCCTCGGCCGGGGTGTCGACGCGCTCGCTCGGAGGCGCCACTGCCGCTGTGCCGCGGCATCGGGTGCGGAGCCCAGCGGCCCCAGCGGGCCCGGCGCGGCCGGGCTCGGGGGCGCGCTGCACGACGATCCCTACCCGCTCGGTGGCCTCGCGGGGCTCCTCGGCGGGGCGGGCAGCGGCGGCGCGGTCGGCGACGACTCCTCATCTTCGAGCTCGGACAGTGGCGTCGACCAGCCGTGCGAGACCGCCCCCAGCGAGGGCCGAGGCTCTCCGTCTAGCCTGGGCGAAGGCTCGCCGCTCAGCCCACCGCGGCGCAGACGAGCGAGCCCAGGCCGAGGGGCTCGCGGTGCTGCAGAGCCTGAAGGTCGGCAACGCGTCCCGCGTGTACTTCGAGAAGGAGTACCTGGACTTCCTGACCTGGGCCCGCTCGAAGGGCCTGTCGGTCCTCGGGCTGGCATCCATCGACTCGACCTTCTCCCAGTACCTCGATTTCCTGTTCTGGGAGGGCCACAATCACCACAAGGGGGACAAGGCCTTGGCGGCGCTGAAGCACTTCAACCCGGGCCTGGGCTTGACTGCGGCGGCGGCTCTGGAGAGGACCGCCGCCGGGCTGCGGGGCTTCCGCAAGCTGGCGCGGGGGTCGACGCGGGCCCCCATGGCGAGGGGGCTGCTGTTCGCGGCCGTGGGCGTCGCCCTGCACCGAGGCTGGCGGAACTTCGCCA